ACCAAGTGAGGTTGATTCTTCTGGAAATCTTTAAAAAATTCCACCAAATATTATTTTTAATAAACATTTACATTTATAGACTACATATTTACAAACAAATTACTTTCTATATGACTACAAAATATGACTATACCATAAAGTAGATACAGTGGCCCCAAAGAGTGGGTGAAGACCTAAAGACTATTATTGCATTATATAAGAAAATATCAAACTGAGTTGACTCCATTTTAAAGACAGAGAGCACAAGCAAAGAAGTAATATTTTAAATAGATATAGCATTCAAAATGAAAAAAAAAAAAAAAAAAGTATTTGGGCACTTACCAATTTTAAGTTGCCAATTTTGAGAACTAAACCTGATATAGGAAACCTGCATAAGTGACTTTATATATCCACTAAAATCACCAGTTGGGTAATAGAAATTGTAATTAAAAGATTAAAGGGGTCATATGATGTTGCTAAAAATAACATTATTTTGTATTTGGTGTAATGAAATGTGTTTATGTGGTTTAAGGTTAAAAAACACATTATTTTCCACATACTGTACATTATTGTTTCTCCTCTATGCCCCGCCTTTCTGAAACGCGTCGATTTTTACAAAGCTCATCGGTCTGAAAAGCAAGGTGTGCTCTGATTGGCCAGCTATCCAGTGCGTTATGATTGGCCAAATACCTCAAGCGTGTGACGGAAATGTTACGCCCCTTACCATATTGTGATGCCGTCCGGCCGGAGCGACGAGACAAAAACATTAAAACCTATTATAAACGAGGCATTTGTTGCATTCAGTGGGTACATAATTACGGATTATAATGACTTATACCGTCTTTTTAAACATTGCGTTGCATCGCGCCGCGTAAACATAAAACCATGTCTGCATTTGTGATCGGAGAAATGACAAACAACAAGCACTACTCTACACTGCCCAAAAAAACTCACGTTTGAATCGTCAGTGGCAAATCCTTTAAATATAAAAAAACTTGCCAAACAAAGTAGTTTCGCTTTCACAACGAAACACACGGCGGGTTTGCGAACGGTGCGGCCGGTGGATTCGACAAAGGATCGTCTAGCGGGCTTGCGGCAACCACATGTGACGACACCGGGCTGGACTCCGCTTCGTCCACGGTGAAAGCCGATCCGGCGATCCACAGCGCGAAGTTGATGTATTTCCTCAGCGACCAGCACGGATCAGCTCCAGGCATGACGAAGCGGATATCGTCCTCTTTTGGAAGGCCAAACAAAGTAGTTTCGCTTTCACAACGAAACACACAGCGCCTTCACGACATGGCGGCGGCGGCAGCAACAATACTACAGCGAGAATAAAAGTTATGCCTTCTTTCTTTGCGTGAACATTTGGGCGGCGTTATGCAAATCTTCCCACATCGTGACATAGATATGTGGGGGCGTGTTAGAACGAGCCGTTTTAGGTAGGCGTGGTTGATTCTTAACTTTTATAAAGAATATCTCTTTGGATTTGAGACTTTAGTCTTTGCAACTTTACAGATCTTCTTTATGCACCAAGAGCTTGCAACACTCCAAAGAGAAAGGAAAAATTTTAAATCGCATCATATGACCCCTTGAAGAAAAAAATTAAAGTGTCAAACACTTGGGGAAATAAAGAACAACAGGAAAAGAAAGAAATACAGAAAGAAGGACAGAATTACAGAACTATGGAACAAAAGAACTATGGACAGACAGACAGACAGACAGACAGACAGACAGAAAGAAAGAAAGAATTTCTTAATGATCTAACAACTCCTTGTGCAAGTAAGGGTGACAGAGACACAGATGTTCCTTTTGTTTTTCTCCTTACAAATGCTGAAAATATTGCTCGGTAGCTGCTTGACAAATGTATCATTAAAAATCCAGCACGGCTGGCACACTTTGGTTACGTGTAAGGAGGTGCCGCGGCCGCCTCATCAGCGAGCACGTGATGGGGAACTTCAGCTTTAAGAGAATGAATCTCCTGCTGTGGGATTAAATTGAGTTCTCTGGTAGCTTGATGAGTCAGTCTCATACGCACACAGTCTGAGGCAGCTTGAAGGCCAGGCGACACGGCAGACTCTCCTAAGCTCACTGATTTAAGTGGCAGTTCAGAGCACGGCCATCTGCACTATTTGGGTCAAGGACTTTGTGTTTCGATGCGCATATAAGACGATGCAGTGCTTATTAAACTCTAGCTATGGTGGTATCTCAGTGTAGTGAGGGTTTTGGAGAGCTAAGCAGGTGTACTGTCTGAGAGAGATAGGGAGGGTGGAGTGAGAGAGAATGAGAATGAAAGCTGCAGAGTGCCGCAGTGCTGGAGCTCACCTTGTCAAGCCCCTCTCTGCGGGCAGGCCTTGCCCTTGCAAACAGCAGACCACCAGGCGGGTGTCTCAGCCATGTAGAACTAGAGCTACTGGCCTATTAAAAGGAACATTTCGGTTTAGTGCAAGTTAAGTTCAATCAACAGCATTTGTGGCATTATATTGATAACAGAAATTATGATTTCATTTTTCAAAGCAAAAATGGAGGCTTACTGTGTGGCATTTAAAATGGAAGCAAATGGGACGAATTTTTTATTTACTATGTAACCGAAGTAGCAACAGATCATTGAATCCTTGTCATGTACATCCAAGTGAAAAAAGATTATTGAAAAAAGTAAAACGAAATGTGGCAGGACTTGGTTTTACACATCAGGCTAAATAATTGGCTAAGTCATGTATGTCACAAGAGAGAAATCTGCCATTTCACTGAAAGACCAAGTTACGACATTGTAATGAAAAATTACGGAAAAAAGCATGCATTGTTCACAATAAGATGCTTTTGGAAAATAGTCATTTAGAAAATAGAAAATGTCATGCAAGCAGAAATGAAGCTTATGATTTTGTAATAGTAGCCTTTATGAGCGGTGAGGTCTCGTGTGTTTGACAGTTTGGAGGGAAAGCAGGGAATGCTAAACAAATGTTAAAGGCTAAGCTGTGTTACATTAATTTTTCTGTTAAAACGTGAATTATTAACGTGCCCATAAAGCGGTTTAAATTTTTTTTACGGTCGTTTTGTAGTTGCAAAATTTGATAAAACTTCTATTTTCCACACTAAAATCGTGTTATCGTGTTTGGTGGCTATACAAAAATTGTAATGTTTACATATTTGGCCCCGTTCACTTCGTTTTAAGTGCCTCAGTGTAAAAACAGATTTGCCCGTTTATGAAAAGGAGGGAAGGGTGGAAATAATTTTTGCTGCAATCAACATTGTCAAAAATGTTGTTTAACTTGTAGTTAAGTTGTTTTTCCTTTACCCTTCGCGGAAGCTACGTCGCTCTGAAGCGGCTTCCGTCGAGCACACCACGGTAGTTCGCTCCATATGTTTAATTCTCTCGGGTACGTTTCTTCTCCCTTCCACTATTTTGGTTTCAAAGAACCACAAAATAAACACAAATGCAAACTTCTCTTCGCATTAGCGCATCACAACAACAAGCGGCGAGGGTTTCTGACAGTACCTTCTCTGTCTTTATCGCAAGAGATATCAAACAGTCAGACTAGTTCTGAGGCAGCAGTTAGTTAAGCTGATGCCGTTCCAGACAGCTGTCATGGAAACAGATGTCTGTTCAGTTACAAGCTGCAGCTTTGCTCCCGTGGTAACGGTTTGCCGGTGCCTTTGATTGTGCCTGCTCCCAATGTGGCTTCCATTGAAGTCCCTGCACAAAAAGGCCTCATCGTGTGATTGTTGGATTCATTAGTGGAAATTCCCCTACTCTTCCTTCCAGATTTGAGGGCCCGAGTCAGCTGTGACATGGTTTTTGAAGAGAGCAGAGACCAGATGTGCTGTAATGATGGGGTGTTTTTGGTGTGCCTCCTCCTTCCCTTAATCTCCAACAAATTATCACTGTGTTTGATTATCAAACAGCCTTCAGATGAGTTCTAAACGTTACCAGTTGGAACATCTACCTTCCATAAATATTACAAAAATGAGCTAATCTACATTCCCCATTAGGCTTGAGGATAGTTTTCATCTTCAGATCCAACAATACGACTTGCAGAGAGACAATCTGCCACACAAGGTAGGCTCAAGAAACCTGAAGCTGTGAAAGGTTATGGGCACTAAATTCTCCATGTTTTCACCAGGCAAGGACAATCGGAGTCTCCGGACCTATAACTGTTGACCGCACATCCCGCTCTGAAGGTCTTGGATCTCAGCGGGAATTCAGAGGAGCTGAGCTCTGCAAGCGAAAGTCAGGACAGACCGCGCTGAGGCCCTAGTGTTGAGATTCTCACCTCTGTTTATTTCACGAAAGAGAAGATGCCTTCACTCCTCCTCAGCCTGCTGTGCAGCTTATCTGTATTTAAGACAACACTCAAGGCATATGTCTAGATGCAGGCTTAAAGCAGAGAATCGGACAGGACCGTTATATAGCTTGAGATAAACGACAGCACTGAGAATTTCTGGAGCAATGAACATGAACAACAGGCCAAGGCTCTCACTATTCTCACTATATAATGAAAATTCTGTCATAATTTACTAAGCCTCATGTGTTTCTAAACCTTTATGACCTTCTTTCCTCCTTGGTATTTTCATGAGACTTGTGGTCAAAAAACATCTGACTTTAGACTAAAAAATAAATAAAAAATCAGAATGATCTTTTTGTGTTCAACAGAAGAAATAAGTCACCGATTTTGAACAAGACTAAATGACAGAATTTTTGGGAAAAAAAATATTCCTTGAAAACGTTTCCTTGAAATCCTTCAGTGTAAATAATTTTGATAGGTTTAAATATTATCTGGATAAAGCGAATTGGATGAAGTTCTCCTCAGCTATGAAGAAACTGGAAAAAAAAAAAAAAAAATGAAAAGAAAAAAAAAAATACTAAAAAGAATAAAACCAGAATATCCCCATCATTTAGTTAAAATATCACAGGTGAAGATGGGAAAGGCTCAGTAATAAGAGAGCAAAGCTAGATTTTTGTAAAGATAAAATCTGTATTCTACTCTTTTCAGCATGAACTGCAGTGACTCCTGCTGTTCATACTGAGGCATTTCAGCGCTGGTGCATTTGAGAGCCATGACCATTTCTTAACTTAAAACACCTTGCTGAAATCAAGAGCAAGATGATGCATTCAGAGATAAAGAATCAATAATACATTACGGTGGCAGAATATTAGCCAGGTTGGAGACTTACACCGGTACACTCACTACAATTATTTTTGTCACTTGTAATGCATCCAAAAATGTTCTAAGTGCTTATATTTCTGAGAGATGGGAAAATAAGTACCAGCAATCAATCTCAGGAACAATATATATGACAATTTAATTGACAGAACAATCATAAACAAACATTTTGGATAAGCACTGCTCTTCAGAAAAGAAGAAATCTTGTTTCGAGTGTTATTTAGAACATTACAACACTAGCCCAACAAAAGAAAAAGAAAAAGGAAAAAGTGCATTAGCCATCAAGGGTAAACAAACTACAACCTCATCCTAGGCACCTAAAACAAAATGTAGCATTATAAAATGAACGTGGCAACAGTGGACTAACACAAGGGCTTTGCTGCTCCCTCCCTGGACAGTCTGTCTGCTTCCTCATTGCCTGTATAGCCAGCATGACCTGGAATGTGCATCTAGAAATGAAGAATAAGAGAGATGGTACATTTCTTCATTTGTAGTCATTTCACTGGCCATGCCATGCGTTTGTTTCATCACTCATTGCATAATGCCAAGCATGCATGAGAACATATGAAAGTGAGCAGCAGGGTTCTGACATGGATACACGGTCCTCAAAAAATTGTAGCAAAAATGCAACAAACAATTTTTTTCAAAAAACAAAATATTAATGTGAATATGAAACAAAATATAAATATATATATATACAATAATAAATAGCTATTGTAGCTAGGGGTGCAATGGTTCAACTTACTCACGGTTCAGTTTGTATCACGGTTTCGGTACGGTTCGGTATGTGCTATGTTTAGGGAAAAAACGATAGTCAAATAAAAATAAAGAAAATAAGAACAAATAATCTAACTACAAGCAACAGCACAAATAAATGCAATAGAGCAAAGATACAAATAAAATAAACCGTGCTTTTCAGGTTTTTTAGGTAGGTCTAACAGTTTTTAGGTACAGAAATTGAATAAAGTAATCGAATGTAAAACTACATTGCATATTTGACTGTATAAATTAAAAGTATTCCTTATTAAAGTTACAAAAGTTATTCAATCAAGAGCAGTGAGTGATTTCCGCGTTGTTGCCGTTTAATTAACTTTAAGAAAGTGCTGTCACTTTAAGAGAACGCACTGATACTGTGTGTTCAGCCGACTATGTCTTCCTAATTGTAGCCTGTAGGTATCTCTCAATTTCTCAAAGTTCTGGCATAGTCTTCAATATATGAAAGTTAGATTTAATACTTGGATACTGATTTAATATTGTTGGAGCTGGACTCTGTAACCGAATTTATTCTTTTTTTTTCTGACACTGTGTGTCATGTTTGATTGTAAAGTGCTAGAAACTATAATTATCCAGCCAGTTTACATCAATACCAAATTTTGAACAAGTGCAGTATATTCACTATCCTACATTCAGAAGGAGTTAAAGATCACTTTCAGACAATATAATGACTATAAATCACAGCATTCTTAATAGATCAGCTGCTCTGATATTACATTCCCTCATTAATTACCTGCATCAGCGAAAATTATGCAGATATGCAAGACATCTCTCCCATTAAAACAACATTTAATTAGGATAATTTTTAGAGCTCTAAAGTGCTGAAAATAGTTGTGTGAAATGCCTGAAAGTCATTGAAAAGTGCTTGAATTTCTCTCTCAAAAGGTTGTACAAACCCTGAAAGGAATAATGTAATAACATTCAACTATTTCTGCCTCAACACCATGGTTATAAGTCAGCGTTACTACTTCTGGTTTTCTACGCACTGTTTAATGTTTATATTTTGTGCAGAATCTGAATGCTTCTCACTAGATCTAGATCGTTCTGCGGCGAGTTCAAATGCTTCTCACTGGATCTCACAGCGCTGTGCTGTAACCGTGTCGTGAGATCAACACTAGCCCTGTCCCAAATGGCACACTTCATGTGCACTTTCGGTCTTGAGGACTTACAATGGCCGCTGCGTGCACGTGTCCGTTAAGTCCACGAGACTATAGGGTGTCCCATTCGTCATTTTAGCGTTCAGAAGGATGCTCGCGAGCGCCCCCTTTGGGGCCGCTATGTGCCCTCGATGCACACTTCTGCTGAGCCCGCAAGCCTGTGAGCTACGCAGGCGACTTCTACCCGGCAGTCAAAGCGGCATTACATCACGAAAGTGCGGACTCTGAGGAAGACCGATAGGGTTTAGGGTGCCATTTGGGACAGGGCCAGATTCCTGAGTAAACCTGTTCTGAGCTCAGACCTGGTTTGCTTGCGCTGCACTCAATTATTGATCCGAGCTGATAATCAGTCCGCGCTGCGCAGCTCAAATGAGTAGCACTGTTTCGTTGCGCTTTTGTTTTGTTTGCCGTTTGAAGTTTCTCATATGCAACAGAAATAACAGAACTTATTAATTGGGCAATGCGGTGGTCGTGCCAGTGCGCCCGCTCAAAAAAATTAGTCGCACCAGCAGAAAAAATGGTCGCAAAATGCAACCATTTGGTCACAGTCTGGAGCCCTGTATTGTACATCACTGCGAGTACAGATAAAACATACCCATACGACCTCAAGTTCTGCGTTTAGTTTATCCAGCTTTTGGAAGTCGTCCTTGTTGACTATCGCCCCACCACCTTTAAGCCTCCAGCCATTAGACTTCCAAGTCTTAACCCAACTTGTAATGCCTTTGGAAAGCAAAAAAAGTAACTGCACAAATATTGAAATAAATAAACTCAAAATTACTATTTGTAAGTTACTTGTATGTATGAGAGTGTGTGTGTGTGATATATATATATATAGTATTTAGAAGTATTTGAACAGAACAGCAGGGAGCACATACCATTAATGGTGAACTTGCTGTCCGTGTATAGCACAACCTTTTTAAAATTATTTTCTCTGGCTTGCTCGAGTGCCTTGCAAGCAGCCTGTGATGAAATGTTTAATGATATGGTTATCGATAAAAAGGTATAAGAAAGAACACTGCTTGTGAACACCTCAATGTTCTTACCTGCAGTTCTGCTCTTTGGTTGGTCTGTCTCCCTGGAAGCCTCTCAGCCACATTACTTAGGAAACAAAGTATTTAAAATAATAAAAATAAATTTTTTTTGACACTTACAAAACAGTGAACATGTTTACAGGGCAAAAAAACAAAACAAACAGTGGACATGAAAGTATTGTTGTTGTCTTTTTAGAATGCTATTAATCAGAGATGACTTACAGTGGATGATCACGACCCCAATATACACCAATTCCTGCACGTGCTCCTGCTCTCCCATTGGCTGTGCAGCAGCCATCAGTGTATACTACTGCAGCATCACCTGTAACGAATGCATAAAACATTTTACTATGGTATAAATGCAATAAACAGTTTACTATGGTAAAACCTTAATTTAAAACATACAACACTATAATTAGTCTATTATTTGTAAATATTGTAAATACATATATACATATATATATATATACATACACATTAGTCAACATTTGAAGTGGATCAAAACCTTTCAAAGTTGTCCTAAAACTTAATACCAAAATGTGTTCTTGTCTTAGGACAACTTCGATGAACTTTTTTGATCCACTTCAAATGTTGACTATTGTATATGCATAACCATTATCGACTGCAAGACTATTGTAGACCATATATGTTACATATGTATATGTAACAATTACCCATATATGTAAATCCATCACTACTGGCTGCAGCTGTCTTTGGCTGTGGGACCTCAGTGAGTTTCACTCGTTTTGGATAGGACAGTCCCTCATCATCATCAGAGTCCTCATATGTCCTTTTACGTCCAAGAGGAACAGCCATTGAGGCATCAGGCACATTTCTAGAAGGCAGGACCTCATAGTCACATCCTTAAATGGAAACAAATGTCAGTATTAATCACTTGCATTACAGTATGTTTTAGCAACATATCAATCCACAATTCCTGCGACGTGACATGCTACAATCCATCTACAATCATTTTAAACAGCATTTCATAAATTATTTTTAATCGCAGTTAAGTATGATTTTACAAACTTGTATTTATTAAGAGACAACAAGGAATGATTCATTAGTTACAGCCAGGGCCATTTAATAATCTAGTGAAAGCAAAAAGATGAAAGGAAGTTGTGACCAGTTACACGATATAAGGCAGGAACAAGTGGGGTAAGTTGTGCCACTTTTTACATTAGTTGTCCTGTAGGCAAATCAACATCAATAAACAAATATCAACTAAAATTCTGTAACATAAGTCATATAAACATGATCCAGAGACAAAGTATGCCACACATTAAGGGTAAAAACATTTACATTAAAAGATCTCAGAGCACACCCTATACAGCTGTCTGCTTGTCTCCATCAACTTATGGTCACATGACAAAAATAAAGCACTAATTTGCTTTATTAATTTATAATTTGCTTAATCTTAATCCTCCCCCTCTTGCACGCTTTTCTTTTCACACCTGAAAACCTGATGATGCATAACATGGTGGATCTTTATAAGTGGTGTGTATGGAACACCGGTCATCTTAAATAAACGTACACCTTTTAAATTACCTTTTGGTCTCCCAAAAGATGCTGCTGCTGACTGACTCCTCACAAAGGCCCAAGCATCCTGTTCAGAAGCGAACTTCTTAAAAATCGCAGAGGGAAACTTATCCACCTGATGTTTACATTCCTCCCTTTAGGAGAGAATACGTAGTCAAGCAATGCAATGCAAAATGCGCTCACAATTACAAAGAATATATATTATATCGGTGCTCACCATGTTTGGTATACTCCTGGTCTGAATCCTTTCCTCACAGCGTAGAAAAAGTTTCCTTTCTTGCCCATCTCTTCTGCGGCGTCACAGAAAGCCCTGCGTACAACACTAAAAACCCCAAGCAGTCTCAACATAGTCTCTGCTTAGAGCAGAGTAAACACGGCTATATCCTTTAGTGGTGGCATTTTTATAAGACAATGACCATAAAAATAACCTGACAAAGACGAAATCTTTAACAAAATACTTATGGATTCAGTGATTTTGACCGTCGTTTGCAATACCTCCGCGGCATGCGTACCGACTGCCTCTACGTTAGATGTCAGCTGACCAAACGCTGCTGCTTCTTCTTCTTCTTCTTTTGTCTTAGTGGCTTCTTCTTCTTCTTCTTTTTGTTCAATGGCCGTTCACTCCTTAGGAGTATTACCGCCACCTACTGTATATCTTGCGCACATGGGTGATGAATCAGTATTGATATCAAGAGAAAAAAACAAAAATTAAATTGTAATGCCCCACCCACCCCAGAGGATCAGAGCCCAAGCTTCAGCTGGCGCTGCGTGTTCAGCTCCTCCAGCTTCCACACTGTGCTCCTCAACCTCCGAGATGGGCAGAAGCATCATGATCCTCATCCTCAAACACTAAATCCTGTGGTCTAATCCTGTGAGCTCTAAAAATGTTAAAACCACCTTAAACATCTGACTATCACTCAAACCCTTTCCCAGAAGGTCCACGACACTCACTGGTCTGTTCCTTATATTGCTAAAAAGACTGTTACGCTGATCTTCATATTTACTACATTTAAAGAGCACATGCTCTGTTTCAAAAACATCACATTCATCACACATACCATTTTCCTGCTTCCCCATTAATGCAAGTGTTGAATTTAGTCCTGTGTGACCCATCCTTTGCCTTTAATTACTGTTGTCTTAGTGGCGGTTGGCAAACTAACTTAGAAACTTTTCCGCCACCTACTGAGATGGAGTGTAGAGGAGTGTAATATAGGTAATACATAAGAAAGAAAAATAGAAAAAGAACAGAAATGAATGAATTAATTAATTAATTAAATTAAATTTGTGACCTTTTTAAAAAAAAATAAATTCTAATAATATCTTGAAAACTTGTGATGAATTTCTTAATAAATTCTGAATTGACTTGATTTGATTTTGTAGTTTTCAGTAGAAGGTAAACAAACCTATTTTAATGACTGGCAAAAAACTATTTTATAATCTTGTATATGTGGCTTATAAAAAAAAATTATAAAGCAATGTTTTTATTGCTTTAAAGAGCGGGCGCGAGGCGCCCTCTGCGCCCAGGATGGTGATTACATTTCCCATCATGCAACACACCAACGCGCTTTTACCAGCCTCTCGCGAGAATACGGCCTCTTCCCAGGCCGTCGTTGAAAGAGGTGAGACTACTGAATGTGCCAAGCTAAAGAGATATCAAATGAAAATGTTTGAAAAATGTCAGATTTCTGTCCACGAAAGACCTTTATGTGATATTTAGACAGGGATGCGTTAGATGCGAGTGTATTTGAGAATGGATGTCTATTTTAGAAAAAGAAATGTGCATATTTAAGATGTGCTAGCAGACGTGACTGTACTACAATATTACTGGGCCCCATGTGCTGCTCTAAGATAGTCTAAAGTGCTTACATAGAGTAAAATATTATATCTCGATGGCCCATATTTGCGGTAGAATTAAGCCTGTAATGTAAATGTAGTCATTCTATACTAGCTAGTGCTAACGACATGTTAAGAACATACTTTAGAGTTAGCCTAAATAGTCTGCTTAACGGTAGCTGGTGAGGTAAGTTGTTACCGAGAACAGCTGAAGTTAAGATAATAAAGTCGGAGATAATGTAATCAAATCCCGAGTTATGTAATTATCTATGAAACTGGTATAATGAATTCTAATGTTTAAGTATGTCACCTTGCTTACCTGCAGACCCAGTAGGTTGTATGTCATCGTTGAAGCATAGGTCAATTATATGTTTTTAATTTACTCACCCTCATGTTGTTCTAAAGCTTTGTGACTTGCTTCTGCAGACCACAAAAGATGATGTTACTGCTGACGCCTTTAGTCTACATTAACTTTCATTGCATCTTTTTTCCTCCATAAATTGAAAGTAAATTGAGACAGGCTGTCAGTTTCCAGCATTTGTGTATAATGAGGATGTACTTTTAGGTTGGGAACAACATGGGAGTTAATAAATTACCCATTTCTTTTGAGTGAGCAGTTTCTGCTGTGTAATTTTTTTTATATTCTAATAAGTGTTTGTGTGTATCAGACACAGGCCATGTTCAGTACCAGCGCGAAAATAGTGAAGCCAAATGGCGAAAAGCCAGACGAGTTTGAGTCTGGCATTTCCCAGGTATAGTATATGATCATATCTTTTTGAAATGTAATCGTGTATCTGTAGCCCCTAATGATAAGCTGTTGTCTGTCTGATGCAGGCTCTTCTTGAGCTAGAGATGAACTCTGATTTGAAGGCTCAGCTGAGGGAGCTTCACATCACTGCTGCTAAGGTAAAAGCCCTGCTGGTTCATTCATTTTGAATGATTGTCATCAAATCAGTAATTCAACTGCTTCAGAAGCTGCTTCAAAATAAGCAGCTGTTTGAACTGATTGTTGACAACCAATGTGGACATCCTGTGAGATGGCTCTCATGTGGCTCTGTCCGTGTGGTGTAAGGGAGCGCAGCACTTTGGTGCCATGACGTACAGTCCCGTTCCACGACGTTGGATAGCAAGCTTGTCCCCAGCCTCTGGCTGGTGTGGACAGTGTCCTGTATATTCCTACATCTTCCCAGAGCCCTTTGGGCCGTTACTGGGGAGGTAAACCATGCAGTGCACATGTCTTTAACTGTACTGGTCCTTGCTGAGTGCTAGGTTAAGTCATTCATATTTATGCTCTTGTAACTTAATACTATTGATTCCCTTTCTTTCTCTCAGGAAATCGAGGTTGGTGGTAGCAGGAAAGCCATCATCATCTTTGTGCCTGTGCCCCAACTGAAGTCCTTCCAGAAGATCCAGGTGAGGCTCGTGCGCGAGCTAGAGAAGAAATTCAGCGGCAAGCATGTGGTGTTCATCGCACAGGTAAGGCTTGTCCTTTCTAAACGTGTTTTTAATATAAAATGGTTGGCTGCCGTTTTTTTTTTTTTTTTGCTGTTTAATTCAACTCTTTTTAATGTTATCCCTTGGGGTGGTATTTTTAAATGCCTCAAATCCTATTATAAGATGTGATGTTTAGTCCATGTCTATTAGCTTTGAGGCCACAGTTTATGTGAGTGTGTTCCTAAACTTTGAGTCATGTACTTAGTGCAGGTATGCATCATTTAAAAAATGTGATTGTTCAATCAAATGCACACAATCTAGTGTTTAATAGTCCAATCATATTTCACTGGTATGCACTAATTTTAAATTTAGAGACCATTGGATTGGGCAATTAAAATTTTTGAACTGTGTATACATGACAAATTTAACAGGACAATTTTAAAATCTAGAGAGCACTAAATAGTACATTTAAGTTTCTGAATTGTGCACACCTGCAAAAATTGACTGGACTGTTTGAAAATTTAAATGGTCCAATCACATTTTGCAGACGTGCTTAATTAAAATTTAATTTGTCCAATCAAATGTTTTTTATTTAGATTTTAAAATGTCCCTCTTTATCTGCAACCTAACTAGCATTTACTGCCTATTGACCTTTTATTTTTTTTATTTTTGTCCACCTGAACATACTATTTTTAGATCATGTTTGCACTAGTACAAAAAAAAACTCTCGCCAAGTGATTTCATGAGGTCCTTAAACTTTGATTTAGTCTTGGTGAGATTTGATTTTTCCCAACGTGGGCATCCTGTGAGATGGCTCTCATGTGGCTCTGTCCGTGTGGCGTAAGGGAGCGCAGCACTTCGGTGCCATGACGTACAGTCCCGTTCCACGGCGTTGGATAGCAAGCTTGTCCCCGGCCTCTGGCTGGTGTGGACGGCGTCCTGTATATTCCTACATCTTCCCAGAGCCCTTTGGGCCGTTACTGGGGAGGTAAACCATGCAGTGCACATGCTTTTTAGAGCAACAATGATGTGATTTCTCCTGAAGAATTAGCATGTTGACCACCAAAATAATTATTTTAATCTTGATTTGATTTTGTCTTCCAGAGAAGAATCCTGCCTAAGCCCACAAGGAAAAGCCGCACAAAAAACAAGCAGAAGCGCCCCAGGAGGTAAATGTCGTCTTGTTGCATTTTGGAAGCTGTTTGTGAAGTCAGGGTTAGTAGTGCTTGCTTTTTTTCAGTGTGATTGTGCCTACCGTAGCAATGTTGTGCAGATTGGCCTGTTAGCGTATAGAAAACCAACGTGGACATCCTGTGAGATGGCTCTCATGTGGCTCTGTCCATGTGGCGTAAGGGAGCGCAGCACTTCAATGCCATGACGTACAGTCCCGTTCCACGACGTTGGATAGCAAGCTTGTCCCCGGCCTCTGGCTGGTGTGGACAGCGTCCTGTATATTCCTACATCTTCCCAGAGCCCTTTGGGCCGTTACTGGGGAGGCAAACCATGCAGTGCACAGCCAAAACTGTTATATTTAAGATGCTTAATTATTGAGTCACATGAACTTCTGTTTAGTGGCAAAGTTAACCTGCTTAATCTGTTTTCCCTTTCAGCCGAACTCTGACTAACGTGCATGACGCTATCCTCGAGGACCTGGTCTTTCCCAGTGAGATTGTTGGCAAAAGGATTCGTGTGAAACTGGACAGCAGCAGGCTCATCAAGGTCCACCTCGACAAGGCACAGCAAAACAATGTTGAACACAAAGTGAGTACCACCCTCTTAGAAATGTTTAAAAAAATAAATCACCCAACGTGGACATCCTGTGAGATGGCTCTCATGTGGCTCTGTCCGTGTGGCGTAAGGGAGCGTAGCACTTCAGTGCCATGACGTACAGTCCTGTTCCACGACGTTGGATAGCAAGCTTGTCCCCGGCCTCTGGCTGGTGTGGACAGTGTCCTGTATATTCCTACATCTTCCCAGAGCCCTTTGGGCCGTTACTGGGGAGGTAAACCATGCAGTGCACACTATTAATTGTTAGAGTGGGGCTGCTATGTTGTTTTTTTTTTTGGTTGTATTATCAGGCAATCCTAATTTGATTTATGTGCAATTTAAACGTTTTCAGTTTTAATCCTTATGACTTTAACTTAATGTTTTCCTTTTGAAAACTTCTAAATTAGTATGCATTAGTTTTGTTTTGAGATGTTTAAATTTAGGAGTTAGTCACAACTGCCTAATAAGTTTTTAACCAGATTTTTTAAAACTGGACATTTAAGTAACCAAGGTAATTTCGGTTTTGTTTCAGGTTGAGACCTTCTCTGGTGTCTACAAGAAGCTCACAGGCAAGGATGTGATATTTGAATTCCCAGAGTTCCAACTGTAAAGCGCAGATGACAAAATAAATTTGTTTACTGTCATGTTCCCAGTCTGTTTTTCATTCTTTTTCTAAGTCATTGAGTGACTTCTCACTTTTTATGAGGTCATATATTTGAGTAAGGTGCTAGTTCATGAATGTATTGCAGCAGAAAAAGACATGTTCTGAAAAGGTATGAGGCCATAGCAATCCTTTACTCTTGTTTGTGCATTATTGTGCAGCAGATTAAGTGTGAAAACAGAATGCAAGTTAAAGAAGGTCCATTGTGAATGGTGGCCCATGTTTTGACCCCGTCATTATAGAGGCCACAATGATGAGTAAACTATCTTTTATAGTGTTCAAACTAATTTCTGTTCTGATCATGACTCCCAGAAGATATGGTTTAAGACGTGATATAAACCAGGCCATCTGGCAGCCAAGATTGTGGCTATATTAAGACCATATTAATTGCCAGAAATCATATGCAGATAGTATGTTGGTCAATGCCCTGTATTAGCGTTAGAATTAAAATGAATGTTATGTAGGTTAATCAAAAAAAAAGAGAAGGTTAAAACATTTAATCGGCAAATTAACTGAGAGATTGTGTTTTTCTCTTTTAACAGTGCAGCAGGTCAATAAAAACGGATTTATTTTATAGAACTGATTCATGACGTCAATTTGTAAGCTAACCAGAGGTTTATTTTCTTGGGTTCCGTGCAACAGATTTAGTAAACGATATTCTTTGTTTAATGTTACATGACACGATACTTACTCAAACGTGGATTTTAAAGCACTGTTGATTAAGGTATACAACTGTTGCCGTATTGGTCTACTACACCTTGTGGTAGTTTTAGTCCTGATTTAGCAACTTTTAAAATGTTTCAGAATCTGTTCGATACAAAATCGATAATTGTACTGCATAATTGAGCACGGTCATTTATAGATGTTTTTCGTGTGATGGTAAAGAAATAGTCCACTCAATGTATAATAAAATAGATAAACTGTTAGCATGCAAAAATAAGCTTGTGTGTTATATGGCGGTGAATATTGTGCTAGGCCAGTTATTGTTCAACAGAGGGCGCTGTTTTTCCAGAGACTCACTGACGTTGGGAAAAGAATGTGAAGTTCATGGTAGTAATGCACAATGTCTATGTAGTAATGTAGCATTAGTAAGATTCTTGTCACATAAATTCAAAATAGAAACTGTAGGCTACATTTCCGTTAACTGTTACTGCAAACGTCCCACGATTATGTTTTGAGATTACACTCCGCTTTCATAATATTCAACGTGACATGTTCAAGACGGTGGACTTCGCTCCGTTTAAGTTTGTTTTTGAGAAGGCAGTTAAATATTATAGTTAGTCGACCTACTATATCGCGGAGAGCTAGAGATTCTCTACAATTTTCTGTGTGGATTCTTGTAATATTAAACAGCTAAATTTAAGTGGCATAACATTTAAAATCTAATCACAACAAACATGGCAAATCGACCAGTGCAGAAGGAGACCAGCAGGAGACCACACTTCCTACAGTTCAACAACCTCGCATGCGAAACAGCTGGAGGAAAGGTGAAAAATGGAGCATTTTAAATAATATCTTATCACTTTATATATATTCTAATATTCATAGATTGCGTTTGCTCACTGAAATTGATGAACAAACTACTAACATTGTCATTAAAGGTGATTTTTGCCACAGATGAGTGGTTTGCCCCTGCTAGAAATCTTCTAAAGGTAAAGTCCTTCATGTGTTTAACATTTTCTAGTATTATTTTGTATTAATTATGATGATCTGAAACTTTTAAGAGAGACCCTCCAGAATTCATAGCCACAGCGTTTACTGAATACGGAAAATGGATGGATGGCTGGGAAACCAGGAGGAAAAGAATTCCAGGTATTAGTCTATCTGCACAAATCAAAGCGAGTTCACTGTAAAACTGGGAAATAGAGCGCTGTGTTTCTCATTTCTCTCTAACAAGCTCTAGTTCCATTGAGCCTGGATGAATTAGAGCAGAATAGCTGCAGGCTACTTCCTTCTCTCATCCATCCAGTCTCTGAAGATCTGTGAAATGAACGCATGAGAGAAAGATGTACTGCAATACTGAGACGCTTCCTCATCTGATCAGGCTTTCAGGGCATGTTTTGTAATCTCAAAGAGTGCTCTGTCTGTACTTAGAACAGATTTCGGTGATCTTATGAAAGATGCATGTGTCTCTCATCTTGTGTTAAAGGTCACGACTGGTGCATCATTCAGTTAGGAGTTCCAGGAATTATTCATGGCTTTGATGTGGACACATCTTTCTTCACGGGGAACTATGCACCATACACCTCCATTCAAGCTGCGTGTCTTGGTGGGTATCTATGGCTGCAGCCTTTAAGAACCAAAGTATAAGGTTACCTTCATTATATCTAATATATGTCACATTTAAATCAGATCAGATGCCGTCATTCACTCTTGAAGGAGATCGTACAGGCATGGCAGCTTCCCCAAGCCAGTTCAAAGCTGTAGAACAGGTGTAAACCATCCTCCAGTGCACTAGATATTTTTTATATGCATAATCTCCAGTCTGTGTTTCTGAGGGAACTCATTCTGAGTTTATGTTGAACAGCTTAACTCAGACAGCTGGGAGGAGCTTGTCCCGATAACAAAGCTGAAGCCGGGGTACTCTGAATCATGCCACAACTACCTGAATGTCACCTACCCACACAGAGTTACCCATATCCGCATTAACATATATCCAGGTAATACGCCATGAATCATTCAGTGCAATTAAAAAAAAAAGAGACAAAACAGAGAATGTGATCATTCATAATAAATTTTAAAAAATGGCCCAGGGAGAGATGCTACAGCGGAGCAGCATCTTAGAGATCCATTTGTTTTGTAAAATGAAAATAAATTAAGGGTTGTAAAATGATAATAAAATATTAACATTTTATTTATATACCACCGAAACACTGGTACTATATGTATTTCACTTTTTTATGTGGTATTTTATTTACCTATTTTTCTTAGCGGATGATTTCTTGCCTGAGGTGCTTACAAGAATCTTTTGATAAATTGTTGAAACAATTGTAGCTTTGACTGAAAGCTGAAGTGTGTGATTTCTGTGCCACTAGCCACCAAACCTTTCCTGCCACTGGTTGGTCAGACAGTTAGTCCTGGCCTACACCAACACTAGAGTGCAACACACCCTTTCAGTGGCCTTGGTTCCGGACAAATTTTTCACATAGGAATAAACAAATAAAGTCTTTGTTAAAGTGTTATAAGCCATGAACCAAACCAGTAAGCTGTGATGTGAATCGCAGCATTACAAACTTTGATTTGAAGTAAAAAAGTAAAGAAATGTTTTTTTATTTAAAGATGATTTCTTTTTAGATTATTTGATATATATATATATATTTATATATATATATATATATGTATATATATACACACACACACACACACATATATAATCAATATATAATCAACCTACTGTTACCTACCTAGTTGCCTCAGCATGTTAAAATAAGTGTTTTAACCTAGAAACAATGGAAAAAAGTGTTTTAACATTAAAAAATGACACCTTAGCTTTAAATATTTTATTGATGTTTGGCAGATGGTGGCATTGCGAGGCTGAAAGTTTATGGGATTGGGAAGAAAGACTGGTCCACTGTGTCTAGTCAAGACCTAGTGGATCTTGTTGCCCTGGTCAATGGGGGCGTATGCGTAGGCTACAGCGACGCCCACTTTGGTCACCCATGCAATATGATTGGTGAGAGATTTTTTGGACTGACAAGTTGAAAAACATCTTAGAAAGGCACTATGGCTCTTTTTTTGTTCAGCTGTGCCAAGAGAAGCATCTAAAATGTAGACCACTTTTACAGACTTTTTCAATCAGGCATATCATAAAAACTCTGTCTGGACTGTTTCCCAGACTTTATTTTTAATAACTTCCCGAGAGAATACTACACATCGCTTCCCAACAAATAAGTTATGATCTATTTAATGACTCTTTGGAGAAGATTATGGAATAAGATGAGAGATTTCGAGATCTAGATCAGTACTTTGTGATTGTCTGAATGTGTGTTTCTCTGTAGGTATAGGGAGGGCTGACAACATGGGTGATGGGTGGGAGTCAGCCAGACGCCTGGATCGGCCCAAAGTTTTAAAGGTAAAAGCATTCTTTTCATTTTAGGAAACATCACAAATATCAGTTATATTCCACACTGATCCCATATATTGGTTTTCAGGTGGATGAGAAAGGGATTTTACAGGTGCCAGGTTTTGAGTGGGCTATTCTTAGACTAGGACATCCTGGCATCATAAGCAAAATTGAGGTAGACACCAACCATTTTAAAGGTACAAAAAGTATTGAATATTTATTTCCATTTTGTAGCATTATTTGTCTAAATGTTTTACATTTAAAACAACAGTATCTGTATGTAAGCCTGGTTCTGCCTCAGAGTAGCAAATAAAAAATTAGCTGTCAGATAAAGTTTAAAATAAGAAATAAAGTCACACACAAAATTACACCGTGAGATATATAGTCACATTGTGAGACATATGATACTGTTTAAAAATTTAGGGTCGGCAAGATTTATTCAGCATAAGAGACTTTTTAATCAACCATTTTCCTTAGGAAATTTCCCAGACTCCTGCCAGATTGAGGCCTGCTGTTTGACCCCAGATGAGGAGAACAACTTGATTCGTAACCAGTGGTGTTCTGACAAAACCCCCAAGTGGAGAATTCTTCTTCCTCCTCATAAAGTATGACTTGCCCATCCGATAATTTCATTTGACTTCATTTTCAACTTTATTCCTTTTTGTTCTATGTAAATGTGATCACAATCTTCCTCATCTAGCTGAAGGCACACCACAGGCATATGTTTTCTGGGGAGTCTGTGGTGCAGTGTGGGCCTGTGACTCATGTGCGTCTGGTCATAGCTCCCGATGGAGGGGTCAGCAGACTCAGACTCTGGGGTCGACCGGTGTCGAACAACATGACTCGCCCTCAGCAAATCTCCAAACTGTAATGGCATCATGTACTTTCAACACACAGTTACAGAAGAATGAAGGTCATCTGTTGTGATTTAAAATATGAACACAATAATGTTAATAACAACACTGAAGACTGAGAACATACTATGTACAAATCAATACCTAATAGCCTTAGCTGTGGTACAGTATACAAATGAATTACTGTCAAGGCCAATGTTTCAGAAAACAACAATAAAATACTCTCAAAATAGCTAATAAAATGAAGCTTCACTCATTTTGTTTGCATTGTATATTAACAAGTCTGACATTTTAGATATAAAAATAGTTTTGAAAATGCATATTATACATATAATACATATTGTATCTGTCTATCAGTGTTAATATGAATGTTTGCCTGGATCAATTTAAATGTTTGAAACAGTAATGTGAGCAGATGCAGACAGTAAGACAGTCTCAACGTGATGGACTTAATAAAAGACACTCCACAGACTGTACAGTCACATTGAAAATAACTCCGGAAAAATTATGTTATCGACAGGATAATATTTTCACAACTACCATTTTCATACACATTTGGAAAGTTCTGCTTGCATGCATCATAGAAACCCCTCTGAAAAATATAATTGTAATAATATAATAATAATTATTGTCGTTATACATATATATATATATATATATAATGTATATATATGATA